TGCGCCAGTGAGTTGGGGCAGCAAGAAACAGCCAAGCGTGTCGCTGTCGACAAGTGAAGCGGAGTACATCGCGCTGAGTCTGGCGATCCAAGAGGGCAAGTGGATTCATCGCTTGCTATGCGAGATCATGGCGGCCGCTAACGAGGAAGGACCCGAGCTCATGATCCGTGAAGACAACCAATCGTGCATCAAGATGACGAAGAACCCGGTCAACCACGGCCGCGCCAAGCACATCGACATCAAGTACCACCACATCCGTGATGAGGTCAAGCGCGGTGAAGTGAAGCTGGAATACTGCGAGACGACAGTGATGTTGGCAGACATCATGACGAAGGGACTTCACGGACCACGCCACAAGGACTTGACGGCGGCGCTCGGCATCTGTGCGTGTTCGGATTGAGGGGGCGTATTGAGGGTTACCGGTACAATCCGAACTTAAGCGTAGTTTTTACGGGATAGTTCTTACGTCGGTAATTACCTCAGAGATGATTAGACGCGTAGGATGATTGGACGCGTGTAAATCAGGTTGATTAGATGCACCATGTGATTGGATGCAGTCTAGGGTAGGCAGAGTTAAGACCTATGAATCAATCACTTTCGAATCCTCCCTCAAGTGAGCAAGTGTTCTCCGCTTCGTTCTCTCCGGTCTCTCCGCTCCGTTTTCTCTTCGCCTCCCGCTCAAGTTTCAACAGGACTGAGAGGCAATTGGCAAGAAGATGATGGCTATATATCGGTTTCTAAATCATATCAAATAACAGTTTTACTTTTCCCACAAATAGAGTATTGCCTTCGTTGTTACTCCTCCTCTGTATAGTGGCTATGCCTAGCAGGGCACTGGCCTTTGCTGTTGTCACATAGAGTTGGCTATGAATGGTATTCTAGTACAAAGCGATTAGTGCCCCGTTGCAGGCGGTCAGTGTTTCTGGGCTGGCTTGTAGGAACTTCGTGCTAATTTTTTATTGTTTCTGATCGATTTATGTCGGAGACTTCGCAACACGTGGCTACCACTAACCCCTTATAAATGGAGAACACGTGACAATTTTCAACTCTCCTACCTAACATCCTCTACGACCTAATATTTTTATCCGCCCAATTGTATGAGCAAATAGGGGCTCTACTGTATAATGATTCTACATTTGTCCTGGGATCTTTCTTATTTACTGTAAACATAAGTATATTAACCATATGATATCTTCCATCAAGGGCGGGCTTCATACCATAAAAGTCCGACTCTCTTACGTATCATACAAATGGATACACTCCTGGTACATCGTACTTATCATGTGTTTTAATTGTAGGTCACCCATCTTTTTTCTGCTTTTGTACGTGCAAATGTGTTACTTATTATCAATTTATGAATGGAAGGAATTAGCTGCGTGTTTTTTAACTGCCTTGCCTAACACTTCTTCAAGAATGTCTTGTGTGTATTCAGGATATGGATCAACGATCGCGCCAGACCAGAGAAGACTGAGATAGCGCTGGATTCTGCCGTTAAGCTTGCTGGTCCGACGAAGCGCGCTCATCTGCTTCAGCACCGCATTGGCGCCTTTTAGATGGATGCTGCACTCGCCGAGGAATGCCAAGACGTTTGCTTCTGCCTGCAACCCGAGCGCCGGCACGTCGCCGCGGTACGTCGGTATTTGCTCGTCCCGAGTGAAGCCTGTATCGAGAAACAGCTTCAAGAAAGCAGCGAGCAGCTTCTAGTCCGACTACTTCTGCTTTTCACTGTGGGTGCTCCATAAGCGCGGGTCACGTGCGTACCACTCGTACCATACTGAGTGAAGGTGAGTTAGCGACGACTGCTTTCTGTGCTTTGTCGATTTGCTGACGTTTTCATACTTCTAGCTGTACTTGTTAATTTTTTGCTCGAAGTCCGCGCTTCATCGAGCTTAGCTTCTAGCGCATCCATGCGCTCGTCTTGGCGTCTTGCATGTCGAATAAAATGATCAATGACATAAGCTTGGGTGAATCAGTTTGCGTTCATCATACTCTGTGCTTGACTTATTCAATATTTCTTATTCGTCTTTATGTTTCTTTTCACGGAAAAACGTTGCGAGATGCGTGGACCATGCGAGCAAATCGGCAAGGGTGCGGCCGTATTCCAGCACGCAAGTTTCCAAGCGCTTTACAGCTGGACCGTTGGGGTTTACCTCTTTAAGAAGTGGGAAATGCATGACCAGGTACGCGGTTAGCACGTCTAGGAAGCGCTGATTGACATTGTACGTCGTTTCGATGAGGCTCTGACAGCTTGCAAACAGCATCGTCAGCACCTTGCGTATACTGTTGTGAATCTGAGCATCTAAGAGACTTAAGTCGGTGAGCGACACGATTTCGTTCGGCTTCCAGCCATTTAACACCTTTGCAACCTTGTGGTCCTGGTTCATTGTGCTGAACACGTAGACAATCGCTTTGTTTTTCGTGCTCATGTTCCGGGCACCGCGGTCGAAGATCCAGAGCACCGCGATATTTGCGCTGCTGTTCGCGTGCTGCTCACCGCCATGACGGAAGGAGTGTGAAGTGAGCTGCTACTCTACCCGAGCTCGAACGGAGACGCGGTCGAGTAGGCGATTGACGCGGCTGTGAATTGATGGCGAGCTGTATGTATCTAAGCTAGCAGCAGCTTGGACGCCGCAGGAAGCCTCCGGGTGGCCGAGAAAGTCGAGCAGAGGAGGGTTAGGGCCAAATCTGACTGCGATGTTCCCTGGTTGAGCGGGCAAGTTGTCGATGAGGTCGGCACACGCGCTGCCTGTGTGATCAGAGCTAGAGCGATGACGTGTAGCGGGCACGTGACGAAGTCGTCGGTGGGGAAGATCGATAGTTTCTGCTCTTCGCACGTTTTCATGCAAATGAAGCGTACGAAGAAGGCGTCGCTCGCATCAATCGGGGCATTCTGTTTGCGGACGAGCGTCAAGTACGACGCACGTCCAAATAGGAACCAAGGAAGGCACAGCAAAGCTGCATCTTGGTAATCACTAGACGAGCATGCGTTTAGATACAAATAACACATCATCCGATTTAAATCAGTCTTCGTACACGCATTGGTCTTCTTCACAAACCCGACACCATATCTCTTGACACAGTAGTTCTCTAACGTTCTACCCATTTTGAGTGGCCGTGATTCGAGTAAAGCACGCTGCTGCGGGAACTGATCTAGCAATCAATGCTTCGTTTGTCGTTAGTACTGCATGCAAGAATGTATAGCAAGCGGCTTGCCAGCCCTGCCTTCGTTAAATGTAAGATACATGCCGAACTTATCCATTACAGACACAATGCACTCCCAGTGTTATCGCGCTGAATGCAGCCCTTGACATACTCTAGATCTGCATTCTCAGACTATCGAAACCTCACAAACGCCTTCATAGCAGTCGCTTTGGCTCGCTTGGAGTTTTAGTCTGCAGATCAACCAAACTCATCTGAATTCACTCAGCACTCAAAAACGCAAATGACACACCCGTGACTAGGAATTTGTATTGAAAGATACCTATGTATACCAACCAAACTTATCTGAAGTCGGACATTACGCATATTCGCTGATGATACAACTGTGACTTGGGGTCTGTATTAACATATACATATTTGGCGCTCTCCTCCGACCAAATACGTCGGAACGGCCGGTGTACTGTACTTCCCTGTCCCTATAAGTTTGATAGGCTGAAAACATGTAAATGTACTCTGTAATTGGATGAAAATGCGTTGCTATGATTCTATTCGCTCTTCCATCGTTTACAAACATCAAGTCAGGTTGGAGTGTCGATAATCATCCATAGCTGACTTTTCGATCGCATCGGACAAAGAGAGCAAGAAAGTGTGACGACGAGTAACTGACATATACAGCAACGGCACGTACTTCAGCTGTAGTTACAATCTTGGTACACGGTCTTCACAACTGAGAATGGATCCAGCGCACGTACATAAGATGGAATTGTGCACTCGCGCGATCATCGCCTGCGGTCAGACATGCTCGTGCTCACTTGTCATCTGATTCTTTTCCCAGCAAAATCGCGACTCGTGCTTGTTTGTCAGCCTTGAATCTTTCGCGATAGATCGGGGGTATCGTTCCCGCGACTCGATTGATCACTGGAGAGACGTACGCATCTCTGTCTAAATGAGGCCAGTTAAGTGGTCTTCTCACACTGGCAATTAAGAAGGCACGTCCATGATACCTTGCATAAGCATTTAGGTAATTCGCTGATCGATCGATCTTCATCTTAGTGCATAAGCTTAAGCATAAATGACCTAACGATTAAGCTGCTCTTCGCATCCATCTGTCGCACTAACACATCAGGACAATCAGCTACTCATCTTGTCGCCCGTAGTTGACACCACACACCGACACACGCGTTCCTCATCAACGATACGGCTGTTTGGTCTCGAGATAGAGTCCAACAATATGTGCGCTCCTGCTTACGTGTACTTGCAAACCAGATGGCGAATACCGTGCGCTAAGGGCCATGAAGAGACACGACACGCGGCAAGTAGATCACAACGAAACGAAGTTTTTCTACATTGCTGCAAAAGCGACCTGGAGTGGGAAGCTGGAAGAGTATTGGAAAGCCTGAAAGACATTGCTTGTGTGTGATACTCGTCACACTGATATACGTGTAGTTTGATCCTGACCTTGTCGTCTTGTGGACGGCCGAATGGCATTGCAAAGTTCAGCCACATAAATGCTTTTTTTTATCATTTTCATACATGTCACTGCACCCACCCACCGAGCCACTCTATTCACGCTCTATTGCTAGCCATCGTACCATTGACTGCAGCCTATCATCCCTTTTGGCTCGCAACATCAGGACGTCCGATCCTTTGCAGTATCTCTTGCGCAATCCAAAACAGACCCATCCATTCCAGCGCGCCAAAGGGTGCGGCAAACGACCAATACGAGCGGCCTGTTCTGCCACCCTCTAAGTACGATCGGAGCGTCTCGGGTCATACAGTCGCTCCAGTCTCACTCCAGCGACAATACCTAAAGCGCTTCTCGACCCACGCGCGCCTTTCGAATGAGCGCCGCGACGGACCACCTGTTGAACCAAGGCACGTGAGCGACGAGCGCCTGTCAAAGCCCTGCTGACGGTCCATATGTCAGGGCGCTCTGTCGCCTTCGCGCAGCGGGTTTACTGGTGACAAGACCTTTGGTTCGTAGAGACTGACGGCAGCTCGTGTTGCTCGTGCCATTAACAGGTTGGGGCGATGTGTTGAGTAACATCTCACCGTACGCGTGGGGCAACATGGGCGTTGCGTTCGGATTGGCCTTTTCCATTGTCGGTGCTGCCTGGTGGGTGTGAATGTGTGACGTGTGACGTGTGGCATGAAGAGGAGAGAGAGAGAGAGACTGACTGCTGGGTGGAGTGCCTGCTGTGGACCACCGCAGGGGTATCTTTATCACTGGCTCGAGTCTTCTGGGAGCTGCTGTCAAGGCCCCGCGGGTGCGGTCCAAGAACCTCGTGAGCATCATTTTCTGTGAAGCCACTGCAATCTACGGCGTCATCATTGCAATCATTTTGCAGAGCAAGGTGCGGTCGTACTGCTGGCAGTCGAAATGGACCCCGTGGGCGCTGCGGGGGGCGTGCGGATTGTTGACGAGACTCTCTGGTACTTGAGCAGATGAACCAGCCTGGACTGCGCCATGAGGGAGACGAAGAGATCAACGAGCACGCGCTGTACTTTGCTGGCTATGCTGTCTTTGGGTCGGGCATCGCAGTGGGTTTGACGAATCTTGCCAGCGGGTACGAGCTGTCGATCCGACATGGACGAGTTCCGGACATGCAGAGATGTCTTGCTCTAACTTGTACTTTGACTTGCTGGATGCAGGGTCTCGGTCGGCATTGCCGGTAGCAGCTGTGTACTTGCTGATGCTCAGAACGCTGCGCTGTACGTGACGATTTTGATTGTGGAGATTTTCGCTAGTGCGCTGGGCATCTTCGGTGTCATCGTGGGCATCATTCTGTCCAACAATGCAGAGTTTCCGAAGTGAACGCGCGTGGAGAGCCTACCCCGATTTCCACGTCAGCTACATACGTCAGTGTCCAGGCGCCTCGGTCGTAGTCTAGTTGGTAGAGACGTTTTGTGGCTGCCACTCAGCTGCAAAAAACTCGCAAGTAAGCACATCAATACACCTCCTTCGCGTTGACAACCGTGAAGACCCGTGCGGGCGATCTCGCGGGCTATTTCCACATTGCGCGATCAGTATCGACATCTACAGCTGTGTACCACTCAGGAAGCGGACGATCCGGATTGTAGCTAGTGTGGCGTGAAACACGAGCGATCAGTCAGGATGAGAACGATTGATTGACTTCGACCGGAAGACGCACCGGTAATTGAGAAACAGCTCTTCTCCATCTGCAATGTCCGCCGTTGCGATAAACGCAAGACCCTGTCAGGCGTGCAACGAATGGAGACTCAGTACATCATTGCGATCCCGATGGAAGTATACCCACTCGCCAATGGAACTTACATGCACGATAGCGCGCTTGCCGAACATGGAGAGGCGCGAAGGTTCTGTCACAAAACTGTTTGGAATCAGCTCGTCGAATTTCTTGGCCGCGAATGGACCTGACGGAGGGAGATCAATAGCCAGTGACCAGTTAGTTGGCATGCTGTCATAGCCAAAAGATCGTTCATCGTCGCTTTGTTGTTCATCGCCACACCTTCTAGAGGAAAGTCAAAGGCGAAACCAATGACATTGGGGAGTGCGCCGCTGGGAGGATGGTTCATCTTGTGACCGACAGCGAGTGGATTGCGCGGATTCGGCGCTGTTTTGCCCCACACAGTGTCAGCAAATGAAGCCCCTTGTTTAACTACCGCGAAATAGCAAGCATAACGCTTACGCTCATTCTTGGCGTCGATAATGACACTGTCAAAGCGAGCTCGAGCGTACGGGTTGCTCGACAACTCGCTCAAGTAACGTTTCTGTCATTGACAACATGAGTGAAGAGAATGCGATCAATCTCCCTTACACCAATCACCAGCACCTTCTTGTAATGCTCCGGCAAGTAAACGATGCCGGGATACAGCGCCTGCATGAGCGTGACGCACACATAGTAGTTAGTGCGTGGAACAACAACTCACCAACACAAGGAGCACACGTACCACCAGCGATCCTATGGAAGCATGACCAAAGAGCTTGACACCTTCGCCAGCATCGGGAACACTAGACTTTTCCACACTCAAGGTGAACCCAAAAGCTTTCTGGAAGCTGTCGGTAATGCCAAGCTACCCGATAACAAAACGCATTCAGTCAGGATCAGCTATGCTACCACAGCAAATGCGTGTTATCACCTCTTTACCTTCTCAACCACTTCATTATCACGCTGAAATCCCGATAGTGATATCTTGGATGCTTTTTTCTCCGAGTCAGTGGGTATCTTCAGCACAGCCTCAAAACAGTTTTGGACCTATTGACAACACAACAACGAGACCACGTGACGAAACCTGAGTCCGCAGTACGAACACCACTGTCTTGCACTCAAACACATACACACACCTGATTCGCAACTTCGCTTTGCACGTACTGCTTCTGCTGCTCAAACTTCATCCCACCAATGGTATCCACGGCCTGTTCGAACAGCTTTTCGTTGTCCCTACAGCGTCGACCACAACAACAACAACAATTACCACAACAACAACACCGTGAACATGTCTCCATGGTGTCCCTATACTTTCTTTCTTTACAACGGCCACACTTACCTGTCGTAGTTCTTCGCGTCCAGTTTCAAGCTCCGGAAGCAGCTCAGCACTGCTGCGACACCCACGTCAGCCTCTTCCTACGCACGGCCATCAACCACGGGGTGCACCCGTTAGACATCACATGCCCACTCGCACGTATATCACTTTACATAGTGACGATGCACGTCGGACCTGGAACCGTCGAGCGGGTGTCGTGCCTGCAAGTCGGAGCTGCAGTCGACGCCACACACTCGTCATGGCGTATTGTGTGCTTTATTGTGACTAGTTTTGTAATTTGTCGACGGCGGACTGCCGAATGGGTTCATTTCGCGAACGAAAAGCTGGAGGATGGGTCGTGCTCCCTCCGAACAGTCATGGGCTCGGTGGACGGGGACTTCAATAACCCAGCGGAGGTTCAAAGTTAGCGGATGATTCTGCGGCAGCAAAACGCAGCTAAATCGAGGGATCACAAAACGAACCGTCGCAACAAAAGGAATAGCTTTGTCCTTGCGGACCATACATCAACCAGAGCAAGATAGAACCCGACTTTGACGTAGCTGATCTCTAGACTGCTGACGAAGCAGTCTGAAGCTCAAGCTTCTGGATGAGTTTCGCAACGTATCCAAAAGAGCTGGCACGTCCTACACTCTTGTCCGTGTGGTTCTGACGTCTGTGCAAAAGCTGTAGTTCTACAGTGGCTGAAAAGGTTTAAGATACAGAATGGAAAGACCGATGAATAGGATCGATCGATCGAAGATGTGACACTTGTTGCCGCGATCTGCCAGGAGTGAACAGATCAACACCCTGCGTGATACCTGTCTCTGCTCGATATGTAGTAGGAAAGTCGCCGAGCCGCGTATCGACTTTTGCAATGCGTTTGACATGATATAATGCAGCGCGCACCTTACCGAGCTCATCATTGACGTAGTGATTGACGTAGTGATTGACGTAGTGTTCCTTTACGCCAAAACAGCATGTCCATCCATGACCATGGTGTTGGATACGCATGCATCCCATCATGCTAAAACGAGCCTAAAACACGCTTAAACTTCCGCCTATGGAAGCCGATTGCTCATTCTGGTTTTACCGTATTCCTAAAGGCAGTATTGCAGCCACAGCACGAGCTCGGTGTCGACCCACTTATCAGTCACCTCTCAGAGGTCAACGCCTCATAACAACAACAACAATAACGACAACAACAACAACAACTTGTCGGAAAGACAGCTGGGATCAGTCAGCCGTCGATCTGTACTGACGTTGTCCCGTAGTGACACATGTCACTATTCCTCCCCGTCCACCCAAGCAAACGATGACGAGCAAGACGTCCAAGGCCGAGCCTGAGCCGCAGCATCCGTGGGGTCCACGCGTGCACATCGGCAAGGTCTTCATCAAGGGAAACGACCGCACCAGGTACGTCTCAGTCCCAGTGACGTCCCACGCTCGACGTCGCATTCCCTCTCTCTCTCTCTCTCGTGTCGTCCTCTGTCCATTGCTCGGTCTGACCTCTGACCTCTGACTGTGGCTCTGTGGTGGCGTCTCTTTCCTTGCAGACCGCGAGTGTTTGAAAACGAGCTCCAGGTAATGCTGCGATATGCTGTAAAAGGCGCATCAAAGTGTCGTGTGGCAGCGCTATTGACCGGTTGATGGCGCGTATGGAGCTGTAGGAAGCGTACAATGCCGAGCGTATCGGTCAATTGGTGCACAAGCTGGAGGAAGCGACAGAGGAGCTCAAGGCTCTTGATATCTTCGAGTCGATCAGTATTGATTTGGACAAGGGTGTGTGTGCATGCGTGGGAACTTGTTGTGGTACTAGTGCTGGGACGATGATGAACTGATGGAGTTCTTGTGCTGATATCTTAGCAAGCTCTGGTGAGCGGGATGAGACGGACGTGACCATTACGGTGAAGGAGAAGAACTGGCGGTCGTTGCATATCGGCGCTACCACGGACGGCAACGATGAAGCAGGCGTGCGTTGTGCACTTGACGTTAGGCTGGAAAGCGCATGTCCTTACTGTTTCGTCGGCGTTGGTACTTTGCGCAGGAATCTTCTCTCACGCTGGCGAATGCGTTTGGAGAAGCAGAAAAGTTCACGTTGAGTGCTTCGTATGCTCGCTCGGGAAGCAATACGCAGCGCGCGACGTTCAAGAAGCCGCGCTTTCTGGGCTTGCCGCTGTTCTTGAGTGCCACGGGAGGGAATGAGATGCATGTACGTTGTCATGGCAGCATTCAGTATGCTGCGCATGTGTACCTCGCTGCACCGGACTCATCGATACGTTCGCTTGTTTGCGGCTGTGTTTTGCAGAACCAAGAGTGGCTGAGCTCTTACAGCGAAAAGGTCCGTGCTGGCAGCATCTCCATCAGCGACTATGATGGCGTGCATGAACTGTCGCTGAACGTTGGCTGGCGGGACTTGCTGCCGCGTCGCGACTCGAAAATTCCGACGGCATATCGTGCATCGCCGAGTATTCTGGCAGAAGCGTTGCCGTCTACTAAAACGAGCGTGAAGTATGTCTTTACCGATGACAACCGCGACAACCTTGTGTATCCAGTCGCTGGAGGGCTGTTCAAGTACACGTAAGTGTGGCGTTGGCTTATCTGCTTGTGTCAACGATCATCCGATACATCTCATACGTTGTCATGCACTCAGGACAGAAATTGCTGGCCTTGTGGGTGATGTCCAGTTTGTCAAGGCGGAAGTGGAAGGCCAGAAGCATATGGCAGCTGGCCCCGAAGTATTTGGCTTCCCGATCCTGAACTTTGGCTTTTCGTACCACTTGGGAATGGTGAAGTCGTACGGCAGTGATCAGAACCGACCAGCGCGCATTAGCGACCGTTTCTTTTTGGGCGGGCCCATGAACGTGCGCGGCTTCAATCATAAGGGCATTGGTCCTCGTGCTTCTCCTCTCGATGGAGGAGTCGTGCAAGGAGACGCTCTCGGTGGCGACGTGAGCTACCGTGGAACAGCAAGCATGGGCTTTCCCGCCCCGCTGCCGCTGTTTGCCGTAAGTGATGAGCTAGCTGGACCATGATGGAGGCACCCGATCTGACCTGTGACCTGATGTCTTGATCTGCATCTCTCGCTCCAGGCGCTAGGACTCCGCGGTCAAGTTTTTGCCAACGTTGGTAACTTGACAACGTGGGACCGCTTGCTGGACGAGAAGAAGTGGATGAAGAACCTTGTGGACGACACGCGCGTTTCCGTTGGCTTGGGACTGGTGTGGGGAACCCGCATTGGCCGCATCGAGGCCAACTACTCTTGGATTCTCAAGGCGCATGATCACGTAAGGACTTGGAGCACATTGGTCATGTTGCTAGGTGCGAAGTTGTAACTTATTGTCATCACTACGACTATGTTGCTCTGCAGGACAACATCAAGCGCGCTCAACTTGGTCTCGGCATGACGTTCTGTTAGCCGCAGAAAATCACGTAGAGAAAGGGTGAAGTAGTGCGAGCCCCTTAGGCAAAGGCACTGGCGTTGGTTGTCTTGTCAGAATACATACCGTCACATTGTGTGGTGTGCATGTGGACGATTCGCATCACACGTCACATATTGCTCGGCTGCACATATGACCAGAATTGTATGACAAAGTGGCTTGCGGCACTTGTTATGACGTGCGTTTCACTCTAATCAGCAGGATACAGTGCTCTAAAAAAGCCGGATCCTAAGCGAGTGACGCATCGACACAACCGTATCACGCGCACAATACGCTCGCACAGTCTCCTCCGTGCCACTGCTGCTCCTCTATCGACGCCATGTACTCGGGCAGCATCGCGCGTGTCTACAGTGCACCGCCAGATCCATTGGAGCATGACACACCTAAGCGCGTGGTCCGCGAAGAACAGCATCTGGGCGAGATGTTGGCGTCGACCAAGAAGCGCGTAACGTGGCGCTTCACGCTCGGCGAGTCCGACCGCATGCACGACGTGGTACTGCTCCACTCTGTGATGAGCCACAAAAAGGTACAGAGGTAGCAGAGGCAGTGGTCATTGGGGTCACTGGTGGTAACGTAGCACGTACGCTAACGCTAATCGATGGCTGACGGGACTTGCTTGGGGTCTGTAGCTGGTGCACTTTGACGGTCGCCAAGTCCATTTCTCGTCGACGGTAAGACAAATGTATCAGTTTCTTTGGACTTAGTTACAAGCTCTCGATAGAGTGAGCGACGCAGACTGTGGTGGTGGTGCGTGCTTGCAGAAGATGGTGGGAGACTGGTGCTTTTCCATGATTCTTGACGGTCTCAAGATGGATGTTCGCATTCGTGAGTTGGAGACAGCTGACGTGCCGAAATATGGTACGCGCTATTTTAGCGACGTTCGCTTAGAGAGAGCGAATGTGTCATTAGAGTATGTGTTTTTTGTGTATGTCTAGATTTGGTCGCGAACCGGATTCCGTTCCGTCGCTGGGATGTCTATCGTCGCAAGAAACGCGCAGTTGCTATGACTGCGGATGTTCAGTCGGCTCGGACTTCTGGAAGTATGCTTCCTCTACTTTTGATGGACGGACGCAATGGACTTGACGACTGTGCATTGACCACATGTGTCTCACAAGTGTTGTGTGCGATGGTGCGTAGGTGCCTACGGGACGCAACATTGGGGACCGGATGGGGCGACTCCATCGAGATCGCAAAACGAGTCTCAGCAGAACACTGGCTCGCCTATGAGCCATACTCGCGAAAGAGGAGCTTATAGCTTGCAAGACCCTTATGCAAGCAAGTCTCCCACGTCAGGTCAGACGCAGTGTGTGAGTGCCCCGTACCGAGCGTCATCAGGACAGAGCGATGGACGCACTTGCAGTTATGCAGGGCATACAAGTAGACAGCATTCGACGCAGCAAGCGCAGAGCAATTTGTTGGCAACGAACCGGGTTGCTGCGAATACACATCCGCAACAGCGTTCGGCGAGAGCTGCATCGAAGTCCGTGAAGCGACCCGAAGTCAATCTGATTGACGACTTTGGTCCCAGCGTCAGTGTGTCGGCGCATTCGCTGACGTTCGATCCATTAGCACGTGTAAGTGCGACACCACTTGCAACCTGAGCTTGCGTCTTGCAGTGAACCTCACCTCCTGAATGTTGTGCACGCAGGCTAAAATGTCGTCGACGAAGGACCCAGCAGCGTCGACCGCATGTCAGCGACCGCAGCATCCAGCTCCGCTAAGTGGTGCTGGGCTCGAGCCATCAACTTGTGTTGACCCATTCGCTCCTGTTGCGCCGCCTGCCGTAGCAAAACCTGCTGCAGTCATGAGCACGCACGCTTTCGCGGCTCCAGGTGCTAGCAGCTATCAACAGCATCAGCAGCAGCAACTGACTCGTCAAATGGGCGCTGGTACTTTGGCTCAAGTTGCAGGGTACCAGCAGCGACTGATGGTAGGAATGGCAATGGGTGCACCAATGGGAGGAGCGATAGCGGTGCAGCAGCGACCAGGTGCACGCGGGTTCTACGCGGGGCAGCAGCCTGCTGTGGCCGGTGGCATGGGCACTGTGAATTACAACAACGACATTACACAGCTCATGAACCCGGCAAGTCTTGCGACCAGCCATCGAAAGCAAGAGGGCAAGTGCATCGACATTGACGCATTTGCTGGCATAAGCCGCTAGCACTCGCAAATGCGACAAGCGATGGCGGACCGTGGACGACACTGTTTTACAAGTCGTGTTCAAAGCTTACACGAGTGCGTTCCACTCTTCCGTCGTGGCAATGTGAAGGTCGGCGACATGTGGTCGCAGCAGATCGAGTTGATTCTCTACTCGCCGCACTTTTGTTCCCGCGCAGAGATTACACACAGGTGGTACTGACCACTGGGAGTTGGTGGGTTGCGGATTTCGGGTGAGCCGTGCGTTACTTCGCGCGGTTGTTGTTGAAGTATCGAGAATAGTGTCAACGGTGTGGAAGTTCGGTTTCGTTACTTCTGCCTCATTCCCAGCTTTTTTGGTACAGATAAGAAGCGGTTTCTCTACGCGCATGACCGAACGACCGCTCTGGTCAACATCAAGCGATCACATGTAGTTCAAGCAGAAAACGATACGACAACCGACCGACACCCGTATCGTCTCGACAATCGACTGTCGTAACGCGTTTCGTGAGAATAAGGAAGCAATGGCTACAAAAAAGGGCATCGCGGGCCACAAATCGACTCGAGCGAAACGCAATGTTAACATACAGGTGTGCTTCTATTCGAATAATTTACACGCACTGTCAAACCTCATCGCCATCGTCCTCGTCGTCACCGATGAGGTTTCTCACTCACTGTACGCCACACTCCGTCCGACCGGTCGTCCACTTCATGGCCGTCGTGTACTTCCGCGTGGCCTTCTCCAGCGCAAACAAATGCGGATCGTAGACCTTGAGCGCCCGCATGCAGTCGCAGAGCCTAAAGAGGTACTCAAAGTTCGGGCCGCTGAAGCCCCGACACGTGGCAATCTCCTTGGCCATGGCGTCCACCGACGACGGGCCCACAAAGTCCACGTTACTAGGCGTGGCAATGTACACGAGCGCCTGGCGCACGACGCCGTCGACGCAGTGGACGTCGACCATCTGGCGGTCGTAGCCGGCCTGTTCCCGGTTGTCGAGCTTCACGAGCGTGTCCTGCACCTCCTCGAGCGGCACTTTGTACAGACGGCCCCACGTGATGTGGTCGCCCGCCAGGTGCGCGTACTCGTCGTCAAACTTCTTCATCTGCTCGCGGCTAATGAGCGTCACGACGCGGCCCTTGGCCTCGGGCGAGCCGCGGTGGTCGGGGCTGCCCTGCCAGAAGCGGCGGTGCCAGCCTTCGACGTAGCCAAACAGCGTGTCTTCGGCCGGGAAGTCGGTCTTCCACACGATTGAGCCGTAGCCGAATACCCACATGAGGTCGTATTGCTCGAAGGGTGTGCAAAAGCGCGTCGCGTAGGAGGTGCAATGGACGTGGCAAGCGCTGCGGAGGAGGAGGCAGAAGCGAGAATGGAACCAGCTGTGCGTGCACAGCAATTGCAATAGCGCGATCAAGTCTCGGAGGGTATAAGGTATGCGTGCACAGCAATTGCAATAGCGCGATCAAGTCTCGGAGGGTATAAGGTATGCGTGCACAGAGTCGGATCGAATGCCTGCCCTTATATCGAGGCGGCAAGACAGCCTCGAGCACGTTTGTGCTGAATGCGACTGCCTCTTTTGGACAGCGCTGATTGGCTGAAAAGCATCGACCAGGCCGGCCACGCTGCTTACAACCACACGAGTGGCTTCACCTTGCCATCGTACGTATGACGTGAGCCCATCGGTTAGTGGTGGCGACACAGCCGGAGCAACGCTGTCGTCCAGTCGTCCCACCCAACTCTCCTTGCGACCAGAGGGAAAGCGAGGGAGAAAGAGGCGGAGTCGAACTTGCCTGACACCAGCTCTGCCGCGTCATTGCTGGTACCTTTGGTCGCTTCAGTGCCGCCACTTCCATCCACTGCCTTTCCTCCTCCTCCTCCTCCTCCTCCCCCTAGTGACGAGCAGTAGCGCAGCAACGGGGCCGGTCTCTGGATCGTTCCAGAGGCAGGCGAGGCAGCCTGATCTGCTCTGACATGCAGAGTGAGGCTGGCGCACCGATTGGCGCTGATTGGGCAGTAGCTGCCACGTGCATCGAGATCGCCTGGACAGCGAGTGACGACCACAGCACGATGCAACGCTGGCCTGCGCTTGTCCCAGCGTTTGTGTTTATGACCGCACCGCCGGTCCAGCCTCGCTCGGCTGCGACTGGCCAATGAGAGACGCGGGCCCGGATGACTAGGTGCCACGGTAGTCACCGTGGCTGGACGCCTACATCAGATTGGTGGACGGCGCACCACTGCGCGCGTCTCCAAAACAGGCCGTCTCTTCCCCCGTTCTTCCCCCGTTCTTCCACCACCACACTATGGGTGGCCGCCACCTCGCAGCAACGATCGGCTGTTTTGGCATTGCTGGACCCGCAGGCGAGTCGAGGCGGCGGTAGAAAGGACTGCGGGTCCCCCACGTTGCGCGTCGAGTGGGTTGTCTCTCGAAGTGACGGTGGTCGATCCCGCGAGTCCTCGACTTCCATGTGCCACGAGAGGGAACGCGTGCACAACCAGACAAGAGGTCTGAATGAGCGTACCGAAAGACGCGTAGGGGGTAGTCAGGCCAGACGACGTTCGGTCCGTCGTTACTCGCAGAAAAGCTGCTGTCGATAGAGGCGGCAAACACGTGCGTCGACGCGAGGCTGGAGGTGTGGTTTTGCACTAATGCTTTTGTTGGAGCCGGTAGCACTCATGTCACATGGTTCATGTGGTAATGTCTTGACATTGATGCTCACTACGTATTGCACGTCATGGCCGTTGCTGCAAAATAATGCGCTGGCCAGCTGTCCCTGGCGATCGATCACAAGGGTTTGCGAAGAATGTAATGCGCGGCTGTTCAGTTGCCTTCTTGTCGGCTGTTGTTCGATCTAGCAAATATACCCCTTGTGCGCGATAGTTTATGGTAGCGCGAAAAGCACTACAGCACTACACCTGACAATCCATACTTGCCCGTTCCTGCTTTTTGACCCAGAAAAGGCACATCAGAGGCTGAAAGCTGATGCCATGCGCGACTCAAGCATTGAACGGCCTGGAGAAGCATTGCGATGCGGACAGCGCTTGGAAGCCGAAGCAAGTCGTACGTGATGGACGTAAGACCTGCTTTGATTTTTAAGAACTGCATTCTAACGTGCGTTTCGTTTGTCGCGTAGACTCCATAAGGGACTGGCCCACTTTTAGAATGTAGAAGCTTAGTCTAGCCGTTTCTTATCCTATGACGCAAAATTACTCACATAGCTGTTTACTGACATGGCATGGGCTGTGAGTAATCTTTGGATTGACCCAAGTTACTAGCGTGAAGGTGCATAGCCGTCTGTTTGCTTTGGTTCCTCTACGCGTGACCGACACAGCAGTTGTAACTTTCGCTGGCTCCTCATCAAATCTTTTTGCTGTAATTCATACCAATTTGGAGCAGTAAATATATACCTTAATTGCTCAATCAAATACATATTTGTGAATATGCTGGAACTGTTAAATGGCCAGTAGTAATCTGTATAATTGCACTTTTCTGCTTGGGAATATCTGTTTTGTCCTCCCATAAAACACAAAAGATACTACAGTAGAAATCCTTTTAGTTAATACTATCGGGCGGATGAAAAAAGTGGGTAGTAGAGCATATTAAGTAGGAGAGGTAGGGTTGTCGCGTAATATACAAACGTCGTCGGGCCAAAAACGCTTTATTAACTAAAAGGGATTATTAGCTATTGAGACCAGCTACGAGGGATTCCACTGTACCTCTACGAAAAGCACAAACGGCAAGAGTACCGGATAATTGGGAGCATAAAACATGCCCCATTTAACCACGAAAATAAAAAAGTGCCCCACGTCATAGTATACTCAAGTTAATGGGGCAGACATGAAACCCCACGTCCTCAATACTGAATATGAATACCTTATATGCAGAGTTGGCCACACTAGCAATGGAAAGCGACGACGAACAGTACCTGCCTTGCAGCTTCTTGGATAACTGAGTTCACTTGAGCCCAAATAAGAGCGACATAACCCCAGCCGTTGTCGAGTACAATAGAAGATGCAACCGTCCGTTTCGCGTTGTAAAGAGTGATAGACGACGTTACCAAGCCGAGTGCACACAAGACGACAGTCTATTTGTTGTGCAATTTTCGTTCTCGCACACGTTCGGTCTATCGACACGATTTTTTCAACATACTCTTGACAGGTGCCGAATATACCAAAGCGCATCAACGGTGCGCGACGGCTAATCAAATGCTTCGAACTATGCAGTCAGAGAGATGGCCATGACTTTCGGCCGGAAGGTGACTCCTATGATGATTCGAGTGAAGCTGAGGAACGAAGGAATTCTTGCAAATTACATGAACTGCACCAATCACTCAACCGATTGAAGATGTAATTTTCTGGAAGTGATACTGAGCAATACGGTCTGCTCCTATCTTACGTCGCAGAATTGAAGAATCGAAGTCACAAGGTTGAGCTTGATATCGTGAAAAGGAATTGAATCGATTAAGATTATTTTTAAGAAAATATTCAAACATTTGAGAAATATTCCGAGCGAGTAATATTTGTGGATAGTACTTTCGTGACGACTTCGTTCGGTGGAATTATGCTTGTTGCGTGCTTTCGAAATGGAATTAACGAAAATCAAATCGTTGGAGTTGAAAATGCATCGATGAGAAATAAGGATAACTGAAGATGGTTCCTAAACTGCATACTACCCCACATCGATCCATCTACATCATTTGTGATGTTAGATAGGTACAAGGGACTTATGAAAGCTATTCGGACGACGGCACGAGACATTCCACACTTTTTGCTTCAGACACTTAATGGACATTTTCAAAAAGAAGTACAAGTCCAAAGTGCTGACCAAATGTGACGTGGAATTTGGCCCGCTTTCGAAAGAACCTTGAATAAGAGAAGATGGCAGGTAAAATTGCTCTACTAGATGCAACAGCGCTCTCGTGGCTCCAGGATGTGGGCGTGAAAATTGGTCGACGGCCGCCATGTCCATTCTATAAAAACTTTGACATCGATCAACGTGGAATCCGTAACGAGCGCGTTGAAAGAAATCTGCTGCCTTTCCATTATAGACCGTTTACTGGAGATTAAGCGCTGCCTAGCTTGCAAGTGGGCAGAAAATACACATAAAGTCAAACGGTGGGGAGTATTGACTCCATATGCATCTCCAAAGAGAACAAATTGATGGCTTCAGATTATCTGAGTGACCTTGATGAATACTCGCAATCATAATTTATCGTCTCAATTTAAACAGGAATGCGAAATATCACACCAAGGTTTTCAGCTCAATTTTTAGATAAATTGTAAGATGCTAGTGCGTTTACTTTGCAGACGTTGGCTCACCTTGCGTCCATGCACTATTTGCACTGAAGAGATCTTGTAAAATGACATCTACGATCAATTATTTTCACGACTCATGGAACTCATCGACGTTTATAGACGTTTATTCTAGGAAACCCGAAACTAACATACGGCCGATCGTGCGTAAGGATTTTCGAATACGAAGTGTGTGAGATGCTCCATCTTACAAAACGGGGGTGTCCAAAAAGAAAGGGGATTTCCTCGCAACAAGCGACAGGGAAAATCGACAAGCGTCAAACCATAGAATGTGGTATTTGCAACTCATTTGGCCATAACCGCAGAACTTGTACGACAAATTGAGCCGTATTGAATGTCGAAGTGGCTTTAATGCATAATGTATATGGAAAAGAAGTTTTTCGTTCCATATAATGGTTTCTTCGCTTTAAATTTAACAATTTATTGCAAATGCATACTTGGGAGTGCAACACCTTCCTGTGGAGTAAAACCATGCCAATATGCTGGAGCGATTGAACACTTCGATCAAACCAAATATATTTTGTGTCTTGTCATAACATCTTGAGCTCTCCACGTCCAGCTTGTTGTAATCTAAAGTTATTTTTATAAGTACCGTATAATTCCTTTATCAGAACTAGCATCTCTCCATCAGCACTGATATGTCTCCATCAGCAATTATACGACTACATATCCGATTTTCAGATTGCTTTTAATGGTGCCTTTGTATTGTACAAAGATTTGAGCATGCGGCAAACTTAGACGGCCTCAAAAATTTTTAATATGAGTAATGGAGATTGACATGACAGATATATATAAAATGTCAAACCACAACATCAGGGCAAAGATGATATAACTACGCTGTCGTTCAATAAACTGACAAACAACTTCGACGAATTCGCTTAAGTCATCATCGCACGTTTCAATCCGGATGAAGGCGTGCAGACGAAGAACTCTGAAAGTATAGAAACAATCAATACGAGTTAATAG